TTTTTGTAATGGAAGTTTTTTTTTTTTGAATTGGCCAGCTCTTTCGTGCCACGTGGGCGTTTTTCCCCATTTTTGTTGTGGTTTATCTGCCTGGCGTGAGATTGTGACGCACTGAGGGTTTTGGTTGTGGCGTGTGGGTGTCCTTTCTTTTTGTTAGTTTTCCTTCTAACAGTCAGGACCCTCAGCTGTAGGTCTGTTGGAGTTTGCTTGAGGTCCACTCCAGACCCTGTTTGCCTGGGTGTCAGCAGCAGAGGCTGCAGAAGATAGAATATTGTTGCACAGCGAGTGTTGCTGTCTGATTCTTACTCTGGAAGCTTTGTCTCAGGGGTGTACCCCACCATGTGAGGTGTGAGGTGTCGGTGTGCACCTAGTGGAGGATGTCTCCGATATAGGCTACTCAGGGGTCAGGGACCCACTTGAGCAGGCAGTCTGTCTGTTCTCAGATCTCAACCTCTGTGCTGGGAGATCCACTGCTCTCTTCAAAGCTATCAGACAGGGGCATTTACCTCTGCCGAGGTTTCTCCTGCTTTTTCTTTAGCTATGCCCTGTCCCCAGAGGAGGAGTCTACAGAGACAGGCTGGCCTCCTTGCGCTGTGGTGGGCTCCACCCAATTTGGGTTTCCAGGTGGCTTTGTTTTCCTACTTAAGCCTCAGCAATGGCGGGCAACCCTCCTCCAGCCTCGCTGCCGCCTTGCAGTTAGATCTCAGACTGCTGTGCTAGCAATGAGGGAGGCTCTGTGTGCCTGGGAACCTCTGGGCCAGGTGTGGGATATAATCTCCTGGTGTGCCCTTTGCTAAGACCCTTGGTAGAGCACAGTATTTAGGGTGAGAGTTACCTGATTTTCCAGGTGTTGTGTGTCTCTGTTTCCCTTGGCTAAGAAAAGGGATTCCCTTCCCCCTTGAGCTTCCCAAGTTAGGTGATGCCACGCCCTGCTTCAGCTCTTGCTGGTCGGGCTGCACCAGCTGACCAGCACTAATTGTCTGGCACTCTCCAGTGAGATGAACCTGGTACCTCAGTTGAAAATGCAGAAATCACCCATCTTTTGTGTCACTCACGCTAGGAGCTGGAGGCTGGAGCTGTTCCTATTTGGCCATCTTGGGCGCACCCTTCTCCGTAGTTTTGGTTCTTAGATTTAAGTCTTGAATACATTTTGATTTTATTTTTGTACACAGTGAAAGATAATGATCAAGTTTTATTCTTCTGCATATAGTTACTGAATTTCTAGCACCATCTATTGAAGAGACTGTTCTTTCTCTGTTGTGCATTCTTGGTGCCTTTGTTGAAAATGAATTGGTGTAAATGCATGTATTTGTATCTGGGTTCTTTATTCTGTTCCATTGGTCTAGGTGTTTGATTTTATGCCAATACCATGGTGATTTGGTTACTATAGCTCTGTAGTATAACTTGAAGTCAGATAATGTTATGCACTGGGCTTTGTTCTTTTTGCTCAGAATTGCTGACCACATGTTAAGTCATGAGACAAGTCTTAACAAATTTAAGAAGACTGACATCACTCCAAGTATATTTTCTGACCACATTAGATTGAAGCTAGAAGTTAATATTAAAAGAAAGTGGAAAAACTTAAAAAATACATGAAAATTAATAATAACACACAATTGAACAACCATTGGGCTAAACAACAAATCATAAGGGAAATTAGGAAATATCTTAAGACAAACAAAAAATGAAAAAAAGATGACATATGGAAAAAACAGTACTAAAGGGAAATTTATAGTAATAAATTCTTACATTAAAAAAGAATAAAGATTTCAAATAGACATTGTAACTTTACACCTCAAGAAACTAGAAGAAATTGAACAAACAAACCCCAAGTTTGCAGTAGGAAGTTATGAAGATTAAAGCACAAACATGATAGAGAATAGAAAAATAATAGATAACAAGGAAATTAAGAGTTGAGTTTTCAAAAAGATAAAAAAAATGGACAAACTCTTAGGTAAAATAGCAAGAAAAAAAGAAAAGACTCAAAATCAGAAATGAAGGAGCAGATATTACAACTAATGTCACAGAAATTTTTTAAGAAGATACTGTGGTTTATATTTATACACCAGCACATTGGATAACCTAGAAGAAATTGATACATTCCTAGAATGATATAACCTGCCAAGACTTAATCAAGAATAAATAGCCTGAAGAGAACAACAACAAATAAAGAGATTAAATCAGTAAACAAAACTTTCTAGCAAAGAAAATCTCAGGACCACCAGGGGACTTCACAAATGAATTCTGTTAAACATTTACAGGAGAATTAAACAAGAAAATAAAATTGCAGGCTAATATATCTACAAACATGCATGCAAAAATTTACAGCAAGACATTAACAAACTATATTTGCCGCACATTAAAAGAATCATACACAATGACCAAATGGGATTTATTCCTGTGATGCAAGGATGGTTCAGAATATACAGATCAATTAATGTGGTATGCTAATTGAATCCTAACTCAATATGTTAGGATTAACAGAAAGCCTATATGTAAAAACTCCACAGCTAAAATTATACTCAATGGTGAAATAATGAAAGCCTTTACTTTAAGATCTATAACAATGCAAGGGTACTCACTCTGTGCACTTCTATTCAACATAGTATTGGAATTCCTAGATGAAGCAATGAGGCAAAGAAAAGAAATAAAGGGCATCCAAATGGGAAAGTAGAAATGAAGTAGCCTCTAGAGTCTTTTTTTCTTGCTATTTTACCTAAGAGTTTGTCCATTTTTTTATCTTTTCTATATATTCATATATTAATATGCCATGATTATATACATAGGAAACCATAAATGTTCCATAAAATTAGTAGAAGAAATAATGAATTCAGTAAAGTTGCAGGACACAAAAACAACACTCAAAAATCAGTTACATTTTTATACATCAAAAACAGACGGTCAGGAAAGGCGATTAGTTAAACAATCCCATTTACAACAGCATCAAAAAGAATAAAATATTTAGGTTTAAAACAAACCAAGGAGGTGAAAGATTTGTACACTGAAGACTATAAAACATGAAAAAAATTAAAGGAGACACAAAAAATTGAAAGATATTCCATGGATTGAAGAAATTAATATTGTTAAAATATCCCTAACACTCAAAATTATCTACAGATTCAATGCAATCCTTATCAGAATCTCCATGTTATTTTTCAAAGAAATAGAAAATAAAGAACTTATATAAAACTAAAAAAATCCAGATAATTAGAAGCAATTTTTAAAAAGAAGAACAAAGCTTTTCAAAATGTAGTACAAAGGTACAGTAACCAGAATAGTATGTTACTGTCATAAAATAGAGACATATAAAGCAATGGATGAAAATAGCTCAAAGATAGACTCATATATGCTGGCTCCAGCATGTCACTGGAGGGGTCACATTTGCATTAGAATTTAAGTATGCATTTTTGAAATTAATTGCATGGTAAATTTGTAGGTAAACATTTTAAGATGTCAAATTTTCTTGATGCAAATATTGAGAGCCTCACTTTATAGTTTTTTTTTTTTCTTTGTGTGTGTGTGTGTCTGTGCTTTAGTCTAAGAAACCAAACATTTGATATGTGAGACTGTCGCTCTAAATAAACAAAATTACACTAGATTATGGTACAAAAGTAAGCTTGATGATCACCTTCTATGAGAAAATATTTTAAAACAATCATTTAATTTTTCAAAATGATCCTAGGTGTGTGATTCCAGACAAAAGTGCATTTGTTCACCGGGCTATAATCCTCCAAGCTGCCGAACACGTTCCAAAGGTTTTCCCATATTTCCTAAGGAAGACATGGGCAAGTATCTGTCTCTTCAAGTATCCGTTTAATAAAAGTATCAAATTGCTTATGATCACTAAAACAGAGTTCGATTTTGCCACTTATGAAGCAACTGATATTTGTAATGAAAAGGTAATCAGAATTCTCTCAAGAAATGGAAACCAAACATGCCATCTTAATCTTGCTCTCTTTTCTTTATAATTAACTAATTAATCAATTAATTTTTATTTTTTTATTTCAATAGGTTTTTGGGGAACAGGTGAATTTTGGTAACATGGATAAGTTCTTTAGTGGTGATTTCTGAGATTTTGGTGCAGCCATCACTCGAGCAGTGTATACTGTATGCAATGTGTAGTCTTTTATACCTCACCTACTCCCATCCTTCACCTCAATACCCCAAAGTCCATTGTATCATTCTTATGCCTTTGTGTCCTCATAGCTTAGTTCCCACTTACGAGTGAGAACATATGATATTTGGTTTTATATTCTCTAAGTGAAGAGTTACTTCATTTAGAATAATGGTCTCAAACTCCATCCAGGTTGCTGCGAATGATATTATGATATCACACTTTCTTTTTTTATTTTTATTTTTTATTATACTTTAAGTTCTAGGGTACATGTGCACAACATACAGGTTTGTTACATATGTATACATGTGCCATATTGGTGTGCTGAACCCATTAACTCGTCATTTACATTAGGTGTATCTCCTAATGCTATCCTTCCCCCTTCCCCCAATCCCACAACAGACTCCGGTGTGTGATGTTCACCACCCTGTGTCCAAGTCTTCTCATTGTTCAATTCCCACCAATGAGTGAGAACATGTGGTGTTTGATTTTTTGTCCTTCTGATAGTTTGCTGAGAATGATGGTTTCCAGCTTCATCCATGTTCCTACAAAGGACATGAACTCATCATTTTTCATGGCTGTATAGTATTCCAGGATATCACACTTTCTTTATCCACTCATTGATTGATGGGCATTTGGGCTGGTTCCACATTTTTGCTATTGAAATTGTGCTGCTATAAACATTTGTGTGAGTGTCTTTTTATGTAATGACTTTTATATAATGACTTCCTCTGGGTAGATTTCCAACAGTGGGATTGCTGGATCAAATGGTAGATCTACTTTTGGTTCTTCAAGAAATTGCCATACTGTTTTTCATAGTGGTTGTACTAGTTTGCATTCCCACCAACAGCATCAAAGCACTCCCCTTTAAGAACATCCATGCCAACATCTATTATTTTTTGATTTTTAAATTATGACCATTCTTGCAGGAGTAAGGTGGTATTGCATTGTGGTTTTGATTTGCATTTCCCTGATCATTAGTGATGTTGAGCATTATTTCATGTTTGTTGGCCGTTTGCATATCTTCTTTTGAGAGTTGTCTATTCATGTCCTTAGTCCATTTTTTGATGGAATTGCTTTTTTTTCTTGCTGATTTGTTTGAGTTCCTTATAGATTGTGGATATTAGTTATTTGTCAGATGCATAGTTTGTGAAGATTTTCTCCCACTCTGTGGGTTGTCTGTTTACTCTGCTGATTATATCTTTTGCTTTGCAGAAGCTTTTAAATTTAATGAAGTCCCTTCTATTTATCTTTGTTTTTGTTGCATTTGCTTTTGGGTTCTTGCTTATGAACGCTTTGCCTAAGCCAATGTCTAAAATAGTTTTCTCATGTCATATTCTAGAATTTTTATGGTTGCAGGTTTAAATTTAAGTCTTTGATCCCTCTTGAGTTGATATTTGTATAAGATGAGAGATGAGGATTCAGTTTAATTCTTCTACATATGGCTTGCCAGTTATCCCAGTGCCATTTGTTGAATAGGGTGTCCTTTCCCCATTTTACGTTTTTGTTTGCTTTGTTGAAGATCAGTTGGCTGTACATACTTGGCTTTATTTCTGGATTCCCTATTCCATTCATTTGGTCCCTGTGTCTATTTTTATGTCAGTACCATGCTGTTTTGGTGACTATAGCCTTATTGTCTATGGCCATACCAACCTGAATGTGCCCGATCTTGTCTTGCTCTTTTTTCTAACATTAAAATATCATACTTGAAGTTGAATACCTTTTAAAATTTCTCTTTACTGATATCATTGACTCTGTCTTTTAGAATATTTTCAACCTCTCTTCCTCAGCTTTATGACTGATCCTGTGACCTCAGCTCTAAACAAACATTTGCTCTGTGTCTAGTACTGTTAGTGTGTTTCTGTTATAGAAGAAATGAAATAGAAGACAAGATTTTGCTCTGAAAGAGTTTATCATTTAAATCAGAAAAATCCATCAGTTTCTGCTTAGGAGATGACAGAAGTGATGCTGGCATATTATTCTGTTTGTGCACCACAGCTTCCATTTCTGTCATTCATTCATTTATTGAGTTAGCAAATGTTTATTGAACTCTTAATATATGCCAGGTCCAGGTGCTGGTCTACACACTGGGGATGTACAGTGATAGCAAAGGACAGAATTAGGATTAGGAATCAATTCTTCTGATTTTTATGCCAGTGCCCTTTTAGTAGCATTGCGATGACCCCATTTATAAACATGATCCCCAAGGCCAAAAGCCAACAATCTACCAAAGAAAAATAGGATATACACAAATATACTGAATTCCTTTGATAATGCACCTTGTAAGAGTGCATTTTTGGATAATCATGCAATTACACAATCCCACGTTGTATATCACTGAATTTTTTTGTCCCTACTTGGAGGGTTAAAATGAGAGTTTGCTGTAGCTGCTGTGAGACTTGAATACTTTTGAACTTTCCAAAACTTGGTTACCATGCTTTTAGAATGAAAGGTTGTAGAGATAGCCCCAAAGATTATGATTACAATTCTATGATGATATTTTCCATGTTCCTTGAATAACAATACAAATTCAGAACATTCTAATGAATGTGTTACAACTTGAAAATAAAAGTAGATAGTTTAATTTTTAATTTTTTTTTTTTTTGTATTTCTGTTTTTAGATTCTATCATGGAAAGAGCATCTGGGAAGACTGAAAACACCTGGCTTCTAGGTTTCTCCGTTGTTCTTCCTATTCTCATTGTAACAACCATAGTAGTTTTGGCAAGGAAGCATTTGAAAAAGTGGTTCATCAAGGAAGAGGAATTCCCAAGTAGCGAGTAAATTGCATTTGTGTTCTGAAGTTAAACATTAGTACCATTTGAATCTAGTTATATGTAAGACAATATCATGAGCAGCAACAATACTTTACATATCACTGGGATTTTGAGTATTACATCAATACGTCATTTAATTTTATGAGGTAGTTGTGAGTACCCCTGTTTTGAAGACACAAAGATTTGGAAGTGTAGTTTACATAGCTTGCCAAAGTCATTGAACTGTCAGTTGAGGGAGGAAGAACTCAAATATATAATATCTGTTCTTTTCTTATCGAAGGGGGATGATCTGTATCATCTACAACAGAAGTATTTATTAAAAATGCAGATTTCTGGGCCTTACTACAGACTAAATATTTTAATTCACATTGCTGGCTCATAAAAGAAATAATTTTTAAAATATTCTTTGGGTTAAATTTTCAGAAGGGAAATTTATAATTTAGATTATTACATTTTTATTTTTCAAGAAATAATTCAAACACGAAGAGAATAACATGACAAACATCCTCTTGCCCACCATGGGAAATTAACAGATGTTAATATTTTTCTTGTTTCTCTTATAAAAGAAGCCGTTGTATTTGCAGCCGCAATTTCTTCTGGTATGATCCCCTTGCCTCCCGGTAGAGGATGTCTACACTGAATGTTTGTGTATTTTACATGTTTTTAATACATGTGGCATTATCCATATCCCATAACCTACCTAGTATTGTTTTATGTATAATTTTAAATAGCTATACTTTCTCTGCAGATGCATTTCCTTATCAATTTTGGTTTGTTTGCTTTGTCTTTTTTTTTTCTTTTTCATGAGCAGTCCGCTCAGAGTTGTTTTTATTTTATTAGTAATTTGAAATATGTAACTTTCAGTTTCACTGAGGTCTCTATTTCTATTGTTTTTTATATCAAGTTTTGCTCTTTTTCCTCCTTTCTGGTCTTTTTACCTTTGCTCTGTTGTGCTCTAGATTTCTTGATTTTAATGCTTTCTTTATTAATTTTCAGCCTTTCTTATTTTCTAAAATAAGAAATACTTTAATAGCAAAAATCTTCTCCTTGTATCTGTCATTTTCTTTATACTCTCTGGTTTTTAAATGATAGTCGACATTCAGTTAAAAAATTTGAAAAATCTAGCAGGATTTCTTGTTTAAATAATGAATCGATTGTGGTCTTTAGTTTTCAATTATGTGATTTATTTTCATTGTTTTAAAAATAATTTTCTAATTTTATTAGCTTATTTTGAGAAACTTGTCTGTGTGATTTAGACTCTTCAATGTTGGAACAAAAAATGAAGTAAAGTTTTAGAAATGTGTAAGCTTGATATGCGTCCTCCAATGTTTTTAGGACAAACTTTTAAATTGTGATGTTTCAAACCATTTTTATACATACTGTTTTTTTTTTCTTTCCTGTCTGTTTGATACTTTGTCTTCTGTGAGAGGCAAACTAAAATTTTCAGTGGATTGTAGCCTTCCCTCTGATTGTTGAAACTTTCGCTTTAGATATTCGGAGGCAGTGACTAAATGCATAATGTTTATTTTAGTTAAATTTTCTTTTCCTTTAATCATTATTTATCGTATGTTAAATACAATTTTCACTGTTTTAGATTGCTATATCAACTTTCTCTTTAAAAATGACGTTTACTTAGTACATCTTTTTTTGTTTTTTTTCTCAATCTGTCTTTGCATTTAGCTGGTATAAACAGTCTTTATATGAAATGCACTAGTGGAGTTTGTTATGCTCATATGCTTAATCCATGATGACATATGTTTAGGCTGAAATTTGCCGTCCTATTTTTTTCCTGTTTACCATGCTTTTTTGGTATTTCTTTTTTCTTTTTCTATAATCTGTTTTCTTTGTTTCACTTTTCTTTCTTTCATTTTTTTTTTTTCTTGAGATGAAACTTCGCTCTTGTTACCCAGGCTGGAATGCAGAGGTGTGATCTCAGCTCACTGCAACCTTAGCTCCCCAGGTTCAAGTGATTCTCCTGCCCCAGCCTCCCAAGAAGCTGTAATTACAGGCATGCACCACCACCCCTGGCTAATTTTTTGTATTTTTAGTAGACACAGGGTTTCTTCATGTCGACCAGGCTGTTCTCGAATCATTTCATTTTTCTGTTCTCTTTCTTTTCCTTAACTATTTGGACATTTTTGTATTCTGTTTTTGTTTTAGTGATTTTCTTTAAATTTTACTATTTGTAGTTAATGTTATATAATGTCTAAATTTAATCATTACATATAGTCTTCTTGGAAATAACCCAAGGACTTCAGTCACTTAACTCCTTCCATTTTCAATGCTTGTTATTTGACTTTCAAATTTCTCCCAATAAGTCAGTGTTATTTTTGTTATTATCATCTTTATGTTTAGTCAGTGAATACTAGGATTTTCTAGTGTATTTCCCAGTCTTACTCACCATTTCTTTTCTAAAATTGTTTTGTTTTGAAATAATTTATGGACAAAAAGTTGCGAAAATTGCGTAGGGCTCTCATGTACTCTTTGCCTAGCTTTTTCCAATCATAACATCTTACATGAACACTGCATTTCCACAGCCAGTATAATGGTATTGGTACAATACTTTTAATACAACTAAAGATCTTATTCAGATTTGCTAGTGTTTGTATGCATTCACTTATGTGTGTGTATACTATTAGCACATTTTATCATGTGATTTGTTTACCAACACCACAATCATAATTCCTTTTGGAATCCTACTTTTTCATTCTAGGTTCAATTATCTTTTTTCCCTTAGATTTATTGCGGTATGATTGACAAACAAAAATTGATGATTTGCCTGATATATGTATATGCTGTAAAATGATTATCACAATTACTATAATTAACACATCTATCACCTCATATAATTACTTCTTTTTATGTGTGTAGTGAGAACACTTAAGATCTATTCCCTTAGCAAATGTCAAGCTTTTTAGATATAAGGTCATATCATCTGAAAACAGAGACAACTTCTTCCTTTTCAATTTGGATGTCCTTTTTTTCTTATTTCTTGCCTAATTCCTGTGGCTAGGGCTTCTAGTACTACACTGAATAGAAATGGCGAGAGGGGCTTCTTGTTTTATTCTTGATCTTAGACCAAAACTTTTATTGATAGCTTTTCCCTGTTAAGTTTAATGTAGCTGTGGGCTTGTAATACAGGTCTTTTGTTATGTTGAGGTGTATTTCTTCTATGATGAACTGTTGCGAGTTTTAATTAAATATGTTGAATTTTGTTTCCTGTAACTATCGAGTGTATTTTCAGCCATCCTTGCATCACAAATATATATCCCACTTGATCATGGCATATGATCCTTATAATGTTCTAATGTGTCTTTGTTCTCTGTCCCCTTAAGGTTAAACCTCTGCTGCACTGGAGAGGCCAAAGTATTCCCAGTCTGCTGGCAACAACTCTCCAATGGGGGCTGCCAGCAAAAGCACTGGGGTGGGCCAGTGGTGGGTCCATGTATATGTGCATGCAGGCAGGGTAGGTGGGGGTTCCCCCATTTGTGCATGCTGGCAGGGTAGTGAGGGTTCTGTGTGCCCACGCGCACTGGTAAGGAGGTAGAGAGAGGCTGTGCTGGTGGCGAAAGGCTGCAGGCTGGTATCCCAGACTGTTACTAATCTGCTTCTGTCACTACAGTTTACGGTTCTTTTTCTAGAATTTTATATAAATGAAATCATATCATATGATTGTATGTACTTTGTCTGGATTATTTACATCACTATAATTATTTTGATATTTATCCATGCTTTTGTGTGTGTCAACAGTTTGTTCCTTTTTATTGCTGAGAATTACTCAGCTGTATGAATCTACCTTAATTTTTAAAATCTATTTATCTGTTGATGAATATTTGGGTTATTTCCAGTTTATAGGTGTTATAAATGAAGCTGTTGTGAACCGCTGGAAACAAATGCTCGGTGCCACAAAGAGGAACCAGTACTGAGACAAAGGATCTCTCAGCAAGGCAAATTTACTTCTGCAAAAGGGTGCTTCTCATAGGTCTGGTTGCCATGAGAGCACCCTGAACAAAGGAAAGCAGGGGTTTTTATTTCTAATGCAGCTTGTCCCTACCACTGTGTCCTGCCTCCATTGGCTGGACTTGGACCGCACATTTTAAGCTGAACCCGGTTGACTAACTTGAAAAGTGCAGGAATGCGGTTACACTGATGGAAAGGTAGGAAGATCAGTTTCAGCAGGAGTAGCCATTGCAATAGGAGAGGTAATTTACAGAGTGGGTAGCAGATGTGGAATGTGGGCTGTATAGATAAGGACTGGCAGGAAGCTTGTTTACCAGGGCAGGGGGACACAGTGAGTAAAGAAGTCTGGCCTTGAAAGCAGGGAACAAAAAACAAGCAAACTTAAGCAAACTAAACCTTTGAAGAAGAATTTCTTACTATATTTAACATGAACTTTCAGGTACAAGTTGCTATGTGTATATATGCTTTCTTTCTCTTGTTTAATGCCCAGGCATAGAATAATTGGGTAATAAAATAAGTGTATGTTTAAATTCTAAAGGAAGAGCTATGTTTTCCAAAGTGGTTTTGGCATCTTGTATTTCAGCCACTAGTGTATGAGAGTTTTAGTTTCTCCACATCCTTGTCAATACGTGGTCTCATTTTTTTTTAACATTACCAATTCTGGTATTGTGTAGTGGTATCTCATTATAATTTTAATTTGAATTTCTCTAATGGTTAATCATGTTGACACTTGTTTCGTATGGTTATTTGCCATCTGTATACCTTCTTTGGAGAAATGTCTATTCAAATTATGGGTTATTTTCCTTTTTATCGTATTTTCCAAATCTTTTGATCATTTTTGAAATGGGTTTGTTGTATTTTGAGTGTTCTGAATATAAGTCCATCATTATATATGTAATTTGCAAACATGTTATCTCGGTCTAAGGCTTGTCTTTTAATACTTTTAACAATCTTTTAAACAGCAAATGTTTTAAATGTTTAGTAAAACCAATGTATCAATTTCTTTTTTTATAGATCACAATTTTGGTGCTGTAGCTAAGAAATAATTGCCTAACCCAAGTTCACAGATTTTCTCCTGTGATTTCTTCTAAAAGTTTCAGTTTTAGGTTTTGCCTTTAGATCTATATCTAATTTGAATTAATTTTTATATATGTTAAGAAATATGGAAATAGTGTATTTTGCCCCCAAATTTTAAATTATTCTTACACTATTGATTTTAAACTTTGTTAAGAAGGATCAGAATAGTCAGCCATAAAAAGACAGTACCATTCTGAGTAACTCTATCCATCTTACTCTGAATTACCATATATTCAACTCAGGTAGTAGGAACTCAAACTATTCCTGTCCTTCTGTGAGCACAAGAAATTATTCCCTTTGTTCATTTTGGATAAATGGTTTTACTCTGGCTCAGGTAGTTCCCTCACTGTCAAGCGTTCATCAGTTCTCTGCAGAAGATGCAAGGGGTTGGGGGGTTGGTCCTCCGCCAATCTCAGGATTCCTTCTAAACATTTTCTTTTTTTCTGTGGTATTCTGCCCTGTGAACCCTAGCTTCCTTGCCCTTCCTAGGACCCCAATTCTCTCACCTCAAGCAGAGAGACTACTGAGATTTGCCTCAGTTTCCCTCACTGCACTACAGCTTGAAAACTCTCCCTAGACAATAAGAAGACTCAATCACAGAACTCACCTTGTTTCCTTCTCTCAAAGTTCACTGTACTGCACTGTCTAGTAGCCAATGTGTGAAATCAATTGTTTCATACACTTTGTTTGTATTTTTGGACATTCTGGCAGGAGGGTAAATTTAGTCTTACTCCATCTTGGCCAGAATTAGAAGTATGCTTTTAGTGTTTGCAACTTTCACATATTTTTAATCTCTGCATCTCACATTCTGATTAATTTTCTTAGCTCACTCTTTTATTTCTCTACTTTTTCTTTCCTGTCTGTCCTGGTTTAGACTTATGGATTCCATTCCTGCAAAGATCTCTATGAGGAGTCTAAATATTCTCAGATTAAAGCGTTTTTTAAGCAAATCATTTGTAGCACTTGCTGTATGAATTCATGTGTTAGTGTAGTGTTGACATTAACTCTTAGTGGTTTGTAATGATAGACTCTTTTATTGTCAGTGTCTTTGATGTTTCCCATGAGAATTCTGTGTGTGCTGTATTATGAAGACATATATGTAGGTTGTTGTATTAGTCTGTTTTCATACTGCTATACAGAACTGCCCAAGACTGGGTAATTTATAAAGGAAAGAGGTTTAATTGACTCACAGTTTAGCATGACTGGGAAGGCCTCAGGAAACCTACAATCATGGCAGAAGGCGAAGGGGAAGCAAGGCACCTTCTTCACAAGGCGGCAGGAGGGAGAAGTACCAAGCAGAGGGGGAAGAACCTCTTATAAAACCGTCAGATCTCATGAGAACTCACTCACTATCACGAGAAAGGCATGGGGGAAACCACTACCAAGATTCAATTACTTCCACCTGGTCTCTCTCCATGCGTGGGGATTATGGGGATTAGAATTTAAGGTAAGATTTGGGTGGGGACATGAAGCCTAACCATACCAGTTGTTTAGTTTTTTCTTTCTTAAAGAAAAAATATTTTTAAAAATTTACCATGCATGGTGTTCAAGAATTTGTGGGGGTGTGAACTGGGGTCCTAAAACTGCACTTTTTGGACACTTGGGAGTCCTACTTCTCTTCTTGATGCATTTTTTTCTCTCTGTTTATGCATATTTCCCTCTTGCATTCCAAAAGTCACTGGTCAGAAATTTTATTATTCCTGTTTCATTGGTCCCTTCTGGCTCCTGGTTTAGTTAAAGAGTTCACTTACAGCATCTCTGCATCCGAAGGCCTGGGGCTTTAGCTCCTTCTAAGTCAGTGCTATTAAAACTCTGGCCTCAGAGGTAGTCTTTTCTTTAAAAATGAATAAAAAACCAAAAGTTGGATTTTGAAGGTCAGGATCAGACATTTAAGGTCACATCTATATTCTGTGTTTAGAAGGGATCAGAAAAAACAAATTTGGGTGTTTTTGATACTCTCCTCATTGCAGGATTTGAAATGTGCTCTTCTCATTGATGAGGTATATGAGTAAATGAAAATGTTATTTATTTCCATCTGTGTTCATTGACCTTTGGACCATATTTTATTTAATAATAATTAGTCTTATAAGGAGAAAATACTGATTATAAAATGGACCGATTTTCATTCATGAAGTTGGCAAGTTTTCTTAGTACTAACGTGAGACATTTTCAATTTTGTTTTTTAGATCTAAATCGGAAGGTAGCACTCAGACATATGCCAGCCAGTAAGTAGATTAGAAGGTGTTTTTAAGATACATGTTGAAAATTAAGAATTAATTGATAATTCACAATTTATTTCTCAATTTTTTTTGAACATCAATTGGTAAAGCAATACTCTGAAATCCAGACTGCTAATATATAGTCTAATTTAGTTTCTAATAAATTAGTCCTTTCTTCATTTAATGAATGTTTACTGGAAGTCTCTTCTGAGGAAACAAGGAATAAAATAGCTGATGCTAAAATGAGATAGGACATGTATAATTAGTAAAGAAAAAGAATTTATAGTGCTTAGAAGTTACCCAGCTTGTGTTAATAGAGCCATGTGCTGCATAATAATGTTTTGGTAAATGATAAACCACATGTATGATGGTGGTTCCATAAGATTATAATGAAGGTGAAAAATTACTGTAGCCTAGTAATGTTGTAGTCAACACAATGTCAGACAGCAATGGATTACTCACTTGTTTGTGGTGATGCTAGTGTAAGCAAACCTACTGTGCAAAGAAAATATGTAGAATTCTCATGAGACAATCAATGCTACTTAACCTTACAAAAAAAAAAAAAAAAAAGCCACTAATGGTGGTAATGCCAACAGCCAAAGCAATCTAAAGAAATACAGGTAATTGAAAAACCTCAAAAATATGCTTAGGATCTGCATAGAGGTTGAAAAACAAATGGAATCCATTAAACAATAATAAATAAAGGAGCTGAAAAAAGATTTTCTTATTTTTAAATTGTTTAGAGAAATCACTCAGAATACAACATAAACAGAATAATAACATATAAAAGACCAGTTAAGAAACAAAAGAATTCAGAGACAGAAAATTTAGAGTGGGGAAGAGTCAATATTTGAAGAAATAAGGTCTCGGACTTTTACAAAATTGAAGATGGGTAGTTAAGTGTCAGGGAATATGGAGTCCAGTTCACAGACTGTTAGAAAATAGTGAGAACTGAAGTTATAGTTAAAAAATATGAATAGGGGCTATGTGTGTTGGGTCATGCCTGTAATCCCAGCACTTTGGGAGGCTGAGGTGTGTGGAGCACCTGAAAATTAAAAATTAAAAAAGTAGCCAGGCATGGTGGCATGAGCTTGTGATCCCGGCTACTTGGGAGGCTGAGGTGGGAGGATTGCTTTAGCTTAGGAGTTCAAGACTGCAGTGAGCCATGATCACCAGTGAGCTCCAGAAAAAAAAGAAAAAAGAAAAAAAAAAAGAAATAAAATAAACATAAGTAGGATGAATAGGGACAAAATGCAATTTATTGATGATTAAAAGAACAGAACGATTAGGTCAATGTAATTGGCTCTCCCAAACCCATAATTATTGTAGAAATTTATACATCTAGATTCATGACTTCTGTCACAATCTATAAAATTCCATCCATTTGTTGTTTACCCAAGCACTACACTAATTCAGTCATGAGTCGCTTAACACAAGGATACATTCTGAGAAATGCACTGTTAGGTGATTGTGTTATTGTGTGAACATCACAGAGTGTACTTACAAGATCCTAGATGGTATAGCCTAATACATACCTAGGTTATATCCTATAACCTTATATATATAAGCCTGTACAGCATGTTATCATATGGAATACTGTAAGCAACTGTAACTGATTGGCTATTTATGTATTGAAACAGAAAAGGTACTGTAAAAATATGATATAAAAGATAAAAAATGATATGTCTGTATAGGGCACTTACAATGAATGGAACTTGCAGGACTAAAAGTTGCTCCGGGAGAGTCAGTGAGTGGTGAGTGAATGTGCAGGCCGAGGATGTTACTGAGTCCTACTATAAACTGTATAAACACTGTGCACTTAGGCTACATTAAATTTACTTAAAAATTTATTTCTTCAATAATAAATTAACCTTACGTTTTACTATAACTTTTCAAATTGATAAACTTTTTAATTTTATAAAACTTTTTGACTTTTGTAATAACAGCTCAAAAACAAACACACTGTACAAATTTCTTTCTTTATATCTTTATCAGCTTTTTTGTCTTAATTTTTTTTTCTTTTTAAACTTCTTTGTTAAAAACTAAGACACAAACAAACACATTAGCCTTGGCCTATGCAGGGTCAAGACAACCAATATTACTGTCTTCCATCTCCACATCTTGTCCTGTGGGAGATCTTCAGAAGCGATGATAGACCTTGAGCTGTCATCACGTTATCGGCCAGGATAACAATGCCACCTTCTGGATACGTCTTGAAGGACCTGCTTGAGGTTGTTTTACAGTTAACTTTTTTTTTTCTTTAAATAAGCAAAAGGAGTACACTCTAAAATAGTGATAAAAAAGGATAGTATAGGCCTGACGTGGTGGCTCACTCCTGTAATCCCAGTACTTTGGGAGGCTAAGGCAGGCGGATCACCTGAGGTCAGGAGTTCAAAACTAGCCGAGTCAACATGGTGAAACTCTGTCTCTACTATAAATAAATAATAAATAAATAAATAAATAATAATAAAAAGTAGCCAGGCATGGTGGCACATGCCTGTAATCCCAGCTACTCAGGAGTCTGAGGCAGGAGAATAGCTTGAGCCCGGGATGCGCAGGTTGCAGCGAGACGAGATCTCGACATTGCACTCCAGCCTGGGAGACAGCGTGAGACTCCACCTCAAAAAACAAACAAACAAAACGATAGGATAGTAAACACATAAACCAAAACCAGTTATTATTATCATTATCATGTATTTTGTACTGTACATAATTGTATGTGATGTACTTTCATATGACTGGCAGCACTGTAGGTTTAGATACTTCTGAAGTCATTCAGCCTCAGCTCCTGTTTACCCTGTGAGCTCTCAGTTTTATCATTTTTATTGGCAACAGGAGAGTCTTTCTTTGCTGTGAGCCTCAGTTGTGTATCAAATGTTTGTGTGTGTGATTTTTTTTTCAGTACTCCTCTATGCAAGGAATGGAAAGGGAAAATTGTTGTGCCAGCTCACTCTGCTAGATTGCCTAGGGGGCAGTATAGGTTTTAATTTACAAAATATTGTCTTTTTTTTTTTTTTTTTTTTTTTAACAATGAATTAAAAAACCAAAAGTTGGGGTATGAAGGTGAGAATCATTCAAAGTCAAATCTATGTTCTGTGTTTAGAAATAGCTAATCTGTGTTTTTTCTGAACAAATCTATATTCTATGTTCAGAAAAAGCAAATCTGTGTTTTGTGGATGCTCTCCTCATTGCAGGATTTGAAATGTGCCCTTCTTATGGATGAGGTATGGGGTAGATGAAAATGTTATTTATTTGCATCTATGTTCAGTGACCTTTGGACATCATTTTATTTATCAGTAGTTAATCTTTTAAAGAGATAATACCAATTATAAAATGGCCTGATTTTCATTCATGAAGTTGGCAAGTTTTCTTAGTGCTAACTTGAGACATCGCTTTCAATTTTTTTTTTTAGATCCATCTCAGAAGGCAGCACTCAGACATATGCCAGCCGGTAAGTAGGTTAGAAGATGTTTTTAAGATACATGTTGAAAATTAAGAATTTATTGATAATTCGCAATTTATTTCTAAATATTTTTGAACAATGTCAATTGGTAAAGCAATGCATTAAAATCCAGACTGCTAAGATACAGTCAAATTTAGTTTCTAATAAATTAGTCCTTTCTTTAATAAATGTTTACTGGAAGTCTCTTCTGAGGAAACAAGGAATAAAATAGCTGATTCTAAAATGAGATAGGATATATATAATTAGTACAGAAAAAGAATGTATAGGGCCTAGAAGTTACCCAGCTGGTGTTACAGAGCCGTGTGCTTCATAACAATGTTTTGGTAAAGGAGAAACCACATGTATGATGGTGGTTCCATAAGATTACAGTGAAGGCGAAAATTCCTATAGCCTAGTGATGTTGTAGCTATCACAACATCAGACAGCAATGCATTACTCACTTGTTTGTGGTGATGCTGGTGTAAACAAACCTACTGTGCTTTGCAGAAGACTCCTTGTGGAGGTCATGTTTTACCCTCCTGTGTTGATAAATTTTTACATTAACTGTTGCTCTGGAATTCATGGGAAGCATGGATTGGTGTCCTCATCCTATATGTGTGAAGAATTAAGACTCCTGTTTCTCTGTGTGATTTTTCCATCCAAATTCCTAAACCAGTTTAGGTGCTCAGGGTTCCCATGCCTCCTGGTGTTGATTTTTTCTCTACTTCTGAAGCAGTTTCCCTAATGCATCTCTGTCTAGTGGCCACAGCTTTTACTATCCCTGCCTTTCAGGGCTTCTAGGTTTAGAGAAGGAGGTCAGCTTCATCTTTCTAGGAAGTCTCAACTCTTGATAAGCTGATGTGGCTTATGAAACTGAATTATGTACCCCCAAGTCATTCAAATTTAGTTTGTATTTACCTTTTGCATTTTCATTTCTCTCTCTCTAACTATCACTAGAAATGGCCTTTTTTCTCGTAAAGGTTTAGTAATATGTGTTGTTTTTGCACTAGTTCTCTATGTGTAGGATAGGAGGGGAAATTACCATACCTCCCCATCAGCTCAGTCTTCTTGATACCAGTATGGATTTTGAATCACAACCTATAGCAATGTATTTATCAATGGACAGACTCTGAAGGCCAGAATCAGGCATTTAAAATGAAGCATATATTCTGTGCTGGAAAGTGAAAAAGAGAAAAACAAATCTGTTTTCTTGTTCCTCTGCTTAGTTGAAGATTTGAAATTTATACTTTTTATGGACATTGCATATGAATAAAAACTTTACTTGTTTGCATATGCTAATTTAGTAGTCTTTTGAAATTATTCGTTAGTGGTGATTCTTGGTATCAAATAATTAACACAGTTTATAAAATTATCTGACATTCATTGTGGAGGCACATTTTTGTTTAGTATTAATGAGGAAGCATTATTTTTTCGCTTTCTTTTAGAACCAGATCAGAAAGCAGCGGTCAAGCTGATACTAGCAAGTAAGTTAATTAGGAGGCATTTTTAAAAGTAATAAGTATGTGTTAAAAATTGAGATGAACAAATTGATAATTAATAATGACTTGCTAACTATTAACTGAGTAGCCACAATTAGTAAAGTACTATACCTTAAAACAAGCTATTTGCTGATCTAGCAACTTGTGAGTATTTGTCTAAATAAGACAATATCTTCTTTCCTGCAGTTTAGTTAATATGTGTTGGGAGATTATTTTGGGGAAACAAAGGAAAACATTTTTGGTGAAATGTTTAGGAGCTAATTCATAAAAAGGATCTTTTTGCATTCTTTTTCTTGGAGTACACGAAGGGGAAGTTTACCTTTTTATTTGGAGATGGTACAACTAGAAACTAATATGTATGCTGATGAATAACTGAGTGAATGCTCACATAGGTCACTTGGGAAGAATTTGTTGAAAATAAAAAAGCATCACAAAGAAACAAAAATTCCACATCTTTCATAGCCTCTCAGTATTACTAGGTTCCCCTCCATTTCCTGAAAGGTGGATGTCTTTTTATAATCATCTCATAAGTATTTACTTCCCCACACTCAGCAATTGTGGGTTTTGGGTCCTTCTGCAGATACAAAATGCTTTGAAGTTTTTACTGCTCCCTCTCTGAGTTATAGTTTTTATATACATTTATAGGGGGCTGGTGTTTTTCTTTCTAGGTTCCTCCAAGCCCACTGCTGTTCCCAAACACATCCAAATCCATAGGGCAAACTCTAAGCTGCACAAGGAGGTTGTATGATTTCTTTTGTTCCAGAAGAAATTTACCTCTTCAATAAGAATGCCTGCATTTCTCATTTCTAATCTGTCTCATTATTCTTCTTCCTTACAGTGACACTTTGGAGTCATGAGTTTGTCTTTAAAATGTTGATTTTTATTATCATGTCCATTCTTATTATTGTGACCAAGGGAGTTACCATATAGGGATCAGGCCCAGCAAGCCTCAGGGACCCTTTTCTCTTACTGTATTCTGCCATCTCAGATAATAAAGCCCGTGTCTATCTTGCTCAGCATTGTATAGCTAGCACGTAGCAGAGTGCTCGGCTTGTATTATAAGTGATCAATAAATACTGTTGAAGGAATGAATGAATGATTACCTTTGATCTTCACACGGAGGCAACCAAACAAACAAAAACACAAACACAAAGGTACATAGAAAAATCTATATACATTTGTGCACATGCATGCATGCACACACATCCATATATCCATGATGATGCTGTCGCTTCCTCCATTTCTTCTTTGCTCAATATATCATCTCTCATCCTGAAACCCTGTTAACATAATTCATCTCTCCCAGGGCTCTTTACCTCCATTCGGTGAGGGGTGATAGCATCACCCATAGGAAAATGTACGTTTCAATAGACATCGTTTAATTTGGAATGTTAAACCACTGGTCTAGCCTTCTGGCTTAGCGTGCACCAGGGAATCATTTTAGAATAACTATTCATTTGAATTTTAGTAACATCATTTGACATGGTGGTTGTGCTTGAGTGATATAACATCCACCATGGTTTTCATGTCATTTATTTTTTGAGTAATCTTTAACTGGTGGGACGTCAGTGGAAAGGTTGTTGAGGCCAACGAAAGCAGAGAGGTGGAATGAATTCCAGTGAAGCAGGGTATTTCCTTGACCCCTTCAGGGGAATCATGACAGGGGTGCCTCCTTTACTCAGCCGCCTGACTCCTTATCGGAGGGAGCGCGTGGGTGAATGAGGTGGGAAATGCTGGAGTGCAGGAGTGCTGGAACCAGCCGTCCATTTCAGCCCTGGCTGGGCGGGATCAAACTCCACTCACTGGAACCCACTGCGTTCCACCACTCGGGAAGGAGCATGCAGGTGAGCAGGTGCAGGAGCCAGAGCCAGCACTTTTGGGCGCTGGCAGGAGCGAACTCTGTGCACACCCTGCAGCAGCATCCATGCGGAGTGCCTGTGACTCCCAAAACCCCAGGGGCGTGTTACAGTGCTCTTTTAGCTTAGATGGCTTGAGCGTTAACAGCTCAGTAGGCCCTCAGCCTTTTCTAGTGAGGCGGCTGCTCTCTGCCAGTGAGGGCAAAGGGAGAGTGTGACAGCCTTTTGAATCCACACTTGTGGCTCCCAAACTCTTGTTGCATGAATGAATTGAAAGATGATAAATATGAGGAATTTTATTGAATAATGAAAGTGGCTCTCAGCGGGAAGGGGAGCTGAAAAGGGAATGGGCAGGAAATCTTCCCCTCAAGTCCAGGCACCTTGGGCTGGACTCTTCTCTGAAGTTATGCCATCAAACTGTCCCTCTGAAGTCTAGCCGCTTCTCTCTGACCTCCAGCTGTAGTCCCCGACAAGACATCCAGCTGCCTCTCCTCTCTGCCAGCTGAGTCTGGGGTCTTTATAGGCCCAGAACGGGCGGGGTGGGGCCGTGGGTGGTTTAGGAAAAGGCGACATTTGAGAAGGAAAACAGGGATAGAAGTTCTCTCTTTGGGCTGTGGTTTCAGGCTTTTCAGTTTGAGGGTGGCACTTTCGCCAGAGACCCACCCTTCTCTGCCTAGAATTTCTCTGCCATCTGTTCCCATCACCAGTATGGGTCACATTAGTACCACTTTAGTGTAATTATTTTAAATGTCTAAATTCTTTCAATATTTCCAGTCTTTTCCTAAGCAACCCAGAAGAATCTTTGAGAATTTATCAGCAAACTCTAAACATTACTCTCCTATATTATTGTCATTTGGCTTTTAGCTTCTTCTTCTAGGTTTTTACCTACAGAATCCTACCCTCCATTATTATTATTATTATTATTATCATCATTATCATTTTTATATTAAATTAATACCTGCTAGGATCTTAAAACATGTTTATCAGTGGCTTTGCTCTCACTATTTATTGTTGAATCCACTGATTTTTCATTATGGGCCTAGTTTCCTTTTTTCTCAAGTACAACCCTTTTAGTTTCAGTTTAGAGATTCTGTATTATCAACATTTTGTGTTAAATGCCTGAACATGCTTTTTTTATTCCACATTCAATTTTGAATGATAGCTCAAATGGTTTCTCCTAGCTGAGAAGGACTTTTCTGCAAGTGTCTTGTAATATTCTGTTGTTGTAATGTGCCATGTACGGTCATTGATGAGACCTTAGTTGTCAGTATCATTATTTATTCCCCTCTCAATTAATGTGTTTTTTTCTAGGTGGTTTCTAAGATTTCCTTTTTTTCTTGAATGTTTTGTTATTTTATGATTATATGTTCTGATAGAATTTGTTATTATTTATCCAGCTCTGGATTCAGTATAGTATTTAGATATCAGGACTCAGGTCATTAAATCTAAAAAATTAATTCAGTCATTATGTCTTCAATTATTGACTCTTTCTCATTCTTTCTCTTTTCTCTGTTAGAAATGATTATATTTAGGGGGATCTTCTCATTTTAACCTCCATGTTTCTTTCCTTTTTTTTTTTTTTTTTTGAGGCGGAGTCTTGCTCCATTGCCCAGGCTGGAATGCAGTGGTGTGATCTCAGCTCACGGCAACCTCCATCTCCTGGGTTCGAGCAATTCCCTGCCTCAGCCTACTGAGTAACTGGGATTACAGGCACCTGCCACCATGCCTGGCTAATTTTTATATTTTTAGTAGAGACAGGGTTTCACCATCTTGGCCAGGCTGGTCTTGAACTCCTGACCTCATGATCCACTCGCCTCAGCCTCCCAAAGTACTGTGAATACAGGCATGAGCCACCACACCCGGCATTAACTGGGGTCTTCATGTGTTACGCCTTTCTACCTCTCTATCTGACATTGTTTCACTTCCTTATATCAGTTTCCAAATCCTCTATTTTCTTAATAGCTATTTTTTTTTTTGCCTCATTCCTGCCTTGATTTGCGTGGAGATCCTAAATATTTCTATTTTGGAGATTTTTATATTATCTGTTGATCTTGATGTGTGAATTTTTGTTTTGCAATTTAGATTGATAAGTCCACCCTCAAGGGCAGTGATTGTTCTCATGGAAATTCTGCATGCCCTGAGTTGTAGAGGCATGCATTGGGAGGATGAGAGTATTTCAGGTTTGCTTCTCCTGGGGCATGAATGTCGTAATGTTTTCCATTACGGGTAGTGGAACTGAGCAGTTGAGGTCTGCATTGCATGGTGCAGGCCTGTGATTCCTGCATCTCTAGATAATCCTTTTCTTTTCACTTGGCTGAGAAAATTTGCTAGTTGTGTTCTGAAGTGCAGTGGTCATAGCTTTTATTATTTTCATTAAAGACTACCAGGCTTGGAAAACAGCTCCATTCCAGCTTTCTAACATGTCAAGATCCATGCCCTCAACTCCTTCCAAGCTAGTGTTAATGAAAACCACATCTTTTAGGGTATAAGTAATTCAGCTTTAGCTCTTGTTTTCCCTCTGAGCTTCTAATTTCTTTATTTTTTTTAAATGATAGAAGGAAAACACTTTGTGACTGTCAGTCTTAGTTATGTATATGTTTTTGTTTTCTTCAGCTTTTCTCTATGTATCTAATAGAAAGGGTAAGTTTTCCTATTAGTCCAGTCTGCCAAACTGGTCAGAAGTAAATGTAAGTTTTAATTTACAAACTGCTGCAATTTGTGTGTTAACAAATACAAAACTAACTTGGAGGCTGAAGGACAGGTTTAGACATTTACAGTTAAATTTATATTAACTTCAAAGTCATTTGAAAAACCTCTGCTATCTTGATACTCTTCTCTACTAGAGAATTTACATTTTGTACCATATGTTGCATTTGGTGTTTGAGTAAAGAAGAATGCTATATATTTGCATGTCCCAAATATTTAAATAATTAGTTTTGGTGCTGTAAAATGGTCTGCTTTTCATTCTCAAAGCAGGCACGTTCTTAGTGTTGACTTTTAGATAGTGTTTTAAATTTATTTTTGACAATATTTAATAGATATTGTTTTTAATTTATTTTTAGATCCAAATCAGAAGATAGTACCCAAGCATATACTAGCAGGTAAGCAAGATAGAAAATGTTACTTATAAATAAGTATGTTGAAAATTCAGAATGAAAAAGTTGATAATTCACAAATAATTGCTCAACATTTTTTGAGCAGCCACAATTGATAAAGTCTACACCAAACCTAACTTATTAATATTTCCCATTCTAGAACAAGCATTAAATTCCATTCATCTTTTTTCTTCAATTGACTAAATTTTTATTGATTACCTACTCTTGTGGTACATAAGAAATAAGCTAGTGGAATTTAATAAGAGAATTTATAATTACTTTGTGAAACTAAATCATAAGCTGAACATTTTGCATCCTTTATTCTGGGATACACAAAGGGGAAATAGTACTTTTTCAGGTTGCATTTACACTCACAAAAACTCAATGTGAACAACTGAGTGAATGATTATTTCCACTTAGGAAGAGTTTAAGAGACAGTATTACAAACACACTAAAATTCTGCATTTCCCATAGACCCTCAATGTGCCACACATGTGTTAACAAGGGTTCTCTGAACTTGTTTAGAGAAGCTTTTCGTTTTCTACACCCCACAGTTGTGGCTTTGTGATCCTTCTGAAGTTATCAAATATTTACTGCTATGTTCGTCATGGTTTCTCCATTGTAGAGTTTTCATTTTCTTGTATTGCCTAGTATTTTTCCTTATAGTGACCTCTTTGAGTTACATTCAACCCACTGCTATTCCAAAATATCCTTTATACACATAGGTTAAATTTTCTAGGCTACACCACAACATAATTTAGTTTCTATTTTCCCCAATGAAGGCACCCCATCCATTAGGAAAGCTACAGTATTTCTGTCTCCTTTATCCTTTCTGTTGTTCTTGGATGTCTCCTAGCATAAGCACCCTTTTACAGACATCAGTTACTTTCTCTAAGTTATGTTTTGTCTCCATTCTCTGTCACTGTCTCCAAGGGAGTTGTAATAAAGTGCTCAAACACTGCAGTTCTCCCAATCTTCTGCTCACCTGGAAGCATTGCTCTCCTTTTAGGCTCTGAAATCACTTGATGGTCACGTCCATGTTTATTTTCCTTACCTATTTATAGGTAGCATCTTGCAGGGTTAATGCTCAACAAATATTTGCTTAACGAATGAGTGGTTACTCTTGAAGTTCACATGTGCACATATAATTCTTAGTGGTGTTACTACTCTAATTGTCCCCTTACATGATCTCTCCTCATAAAATATGCCATAATCATATCATAATCATCCTCTTTAAAAGTAATCAATTCAACTAGATTGAGGGATAGACAAGGGCATCATCTATAGGATAATATACACTGGATTTGGGGAGTATAATTTGGAATGTTAACCCGTTATTCTAACTTTGTGTTTAGCATACCCAGAAAGGTATTCTGTGATTATTCTTTCATTTAAATTTAGTAGGCTAAGCAGACATAATTGCTGTCCTTTACTGTTGTAGCATTCACTGTATTTTCTGGTATTTCTGTTCCTTTTACATTTATATTTTTAGTACTTTTGTTGCCATTGGGAAGCCAGTGGGAGATGTTCGTAGAGCCAATTCCTTGGGTAAATACAGTGAAACAATATATACATTTTTTAAAGCCAGAAATTTAATGGGTGTATATGTCAGTAGACTCATACGTCTATAAATACAAATCTTTTTATTGGTTTGGGAGATAACTAATTATATTAAATAAGAATGTTTCATGGTCAGAGTTGTAGGAAAAATCAACACTAAGTTTTGAAGATATCAAAGAGCAAAGGTAGGGAAAGGACGGGAGAAGTGAAATTATACATTATCACTGAAGACTCTCAATCATATTGTATTGTCTTCTCTGTGAATTAATCTTGATTAATTTGTCTTCGGTTCATTATTTTTCTCTCCCATTCTTTTAGTTGGGGGATTAGAAATAAGGAATCTGTGGATATAAAAATGGAAAAGACTGGATGTGGTGGCTCACATGACAAAATGCTATAATCCCAGCATTTTGGGAAGCCAAGGTGGGAGGACTGGAGTTCCTCCAATTAGAAGGTCAGGAGTTCAAGACCAGCCTGGGCAGCAAACTGAAATCCCATTTCTACAAAGAAATAGAAAAAATTGGCTAGGCATGTTGGTGCATGCTTGTAGCCTTAGATATTTGGGAGGTTGAGGCAGGAGGACATTTGAGTCCCCAGGACGTTGAGGCTGTGGTGAGCCACAATCATATTCCTGCCCTCTAACCTGGGTGACAAAGTGAAACTCTATCTCTAAAAAAAGAAAATGGAAAAGAGGTAGAAATTTGGCAAATACTTCTTTTTTAGTACAACTTTGAAGGGAAAGAGGAAGAAATTGCCATAACAAATAAATACAACATAACTTTGACAGGTTGTATTATAACAACCTAAAAATGTTGTTTCCTTATTTACTTAGATCCAAATCACAGGAAAGTACCCAAACACAAAGCAGTAGGTAAGTATATTAGAAGGTATTTCTTAAAAATGAATACATGTATGAAATTAAAATAAAATTCAGAATACACAATTAATTCCTAAGTATGGATTGGGTAGATGAATTGGTTAAAGTACTGCACCAATAAATAATCTATCTTTCTTTTATTCTTTTTTTTGTTTGTTTTTGACAGAGTCTTGCTCTGTTGACCAGGCTAGTGCAATGGTGCGATCTCAGCTCACTGCAACCTCTGCCTCCCGTGTTCAAGTGATTCTCCTGCCTCAGCCTCCTGAGTAGCTGGGATTACAGGCTCGTGCCACCATGCCCACCTAATTTTTGTATTTTTAGTAGAGACGGGGTTTTGCCATGTTGGCCAGGCTGGTCTTGAACTCCTAACCTCAGGTGATCTGCCCCTACTCAGCCTCCCAAAGTGCTTGGATTACAGGCGTGAGCCATCATGTCCAGCCTAAATGACCTATGTTCAAATGACCAATCTTTACTAATCTTGTTACTAATGAGTATTTAAATAACTTAGTTTGGTTTTTTTTGTTTTCAGTTTAGTAAAGTTCTCTTGTTTATTGAGAACTTGCTCTTGTTGATAGACTAGAATTAAAGAGTTGTACCTAATAAGATGGAAGATCTGTAAATTTATTTATAAAACAAATCTGTAATTGTGACCATTTTATTCATTAGGCAGCATAGTCTACACTGCTTCAGGTCTATGAACTTCCAAAGACCAAAAGGCCAAAATACTGTTACAAACACATACACGCACGCACGCGCACACACACACACACACAATAATTGGCTGCAAGGTATGCAAAAAGGAAAATTAATGTGAATTTAAATGTCTAAAATATGTAAATACATTAACTTAATTGTTAAATTCATAAACATTTCATTTTATATGAAATAGTTTTAATTTTTTCATTTGCAAGTACTTCTGATTAAATATGATGGTTCCTCAGAAATCAAAGAAAAGCACAAAGTAAATAAGTGGCTCGTGGTCAAATAATTTCACAGGCAAAATTGTAAACATCCTTTCAATAATTCTTTTTTTGGTGCCACATGAATTTTCCACTTGGCAGTACCCCAGCTGCTTGTACAGTGGGAGGGAGTTTGCTGTCAATACTTTGAGCACGTGTTTTTTGTTCTCTTCTACAGTAACTAGTGGTTCCTTCAGAAGGCAACGGATAACATCGAGAGTCTCGCTAAGAAATGAAAATTCTGTCGTTCCTTCCGTGGTCACAGCTGAAAGAAACAATAAATTGAGTGTGGATCAATTTGCATGCCAGTGTGTTCATTTTTTTTTCTTCCCTTTCCTTTACCCCCCGCGACCGCAGTTTTGCAGCTGCAGGGCCCTTAATTGAAAACAGTCCTCCAAACTCATCTCAGCTGTCCCCATCCCCACCTGACTCTGCACGAGCTCTTCCCAATTGTCTACTCTGCAGCTCTTCCACAACTCCTGCCCCTGTGCGCCCCGCCCCATGCCACCCCCTTTGTTGTACTGCCTGGGGCCCCAGAATCTGGGCAGTGTACCGTGTTCCTCCTTCTGGTCCTTCTCATGGGATTTGGCTGACTGCACACAGGTCCAATATATCCAGATAGCTGCCCTCCTCATCCTCCCCATGACCCCGGTCTGGGCTTCTGAGGGAGGACTGTTTGTTTCAGGGATTGTAACTTCCCATCCAGGCCTTTCCCTCTACCCCCGCCCGCCCACCTTTCTCTTGTCCCTTGGCCAAGTGACCTACAAGGTCAAGCCCAGAAGACAGAGAGGCAGCTTCTGAAGGACCCTTAGGCATAGGTCTTAAAGGCAAATATGATTCCCTTATTAGAGTTTGGTATGAGGCTTGAAAAAATGATTAGAGAAAGGTTCTCTCATTTTCCATTTTCTGAAATAATCTGAAAAAATTGTTTAGATTTTCAGTTAAATGTTTGTCAAAATTCACCAGTGAAGCTCTCTGGGACTGGAGATTTTTTTGTTTTTGTTTTTGTTTTTGGCGAGGGCAAGATTTTAAATTACGGATTCAATTTATTTAATAGAGAACTATTCAAATTTTCCATTTATTGTTGGGATAGGTTTTTTTCAGACACTGTATTTTTTTTTTAAAAGTTTATCCATTTTATTTAATGATTAGACTTGTGGCCTAATGTTGTTTATAATATTCTTTTTTATGTCTGTAGGATCTATAGTTATGTCCCCTCTTTCGTTCCTTAAAATAGTAAGGTTTTTTTTCCTCTCATCAGTCTTGTGAAGAGTTTATCTACTTAATTAATTTAAGAATCTCTCCAGAACTGCTCTTGACTTTGTTATTTTTCCCTATTACATCTCTGTTTTCTATTTCATTGATTACACATTTTATTAATTTGCTTTCTTTTACCTTCTTCAGGTGAAAGTTTAGATCATTGATTTTAAATCTTCTTTTCTAATGCATTTAAAAATATAAGTTTGTCCTATGTACATTTTTAGCTGCATTCCACATATTTTATGTTGTGTCTTCATTATATTTCAGGTCAAAATATTTTCAAATTTTTATTTTGATTTCTATTTTGAGTTATAGGTTATGTAGAAGCCTGTTTAAATCCAAATATTGGTGTTTTTTAGCTCATTTTTTCCTTATTGATTTCTCAGTGGTGACTAGAGAACATATTTATGTAATCTCAATTTTTGAAATTATTTTCTTGATTGGTTAAGCCTATGATATACTTTGTTGAATGTTCTGTGTGTACTAAATATATACATGTGTATTTTGCAGTTGCTGAGTATATAGATGTTAATTAAGTCATTTGTTGATAGTGTTCTTGAACTCTTGTTTTTTCCTCTTGTTCTATCAATTCTTGAGAGAGACCTGTTGAAAGTGCCAACTGTTGTGTTTTATTATTGTTGTTGTGTTACTTGTTTTAGACATGTTAATTGCGTTTCATGTATTTTGGAGTTATATTTTAGTGCATGCATCTTTAGGACTGTTATGTTTTCCTAATGAATTGGCTCTTTATCATTATGCAATTCACGTTGTTGTCTCTAGTAATACTCTTAATTTCGAATTCTGATTTTGTGATAGTAATATTGCCATGCAGCTTTTTTTTTATTGGCAGCTTTTTAAGTTAGTCTTTTCACGGAGTATCTTTTTTCATTCTTTTACTTCCATTGCATATTTCCTTATATTTAAGGTGTATCTGATGTACAGAGTATGCAGTTGGTTCTTGTATTTTAAAAAATATCCAGTCTGACAATGTTTTAAAATTGGAATGCTTAAAAGCATTCATATCTGTTTATTTTTGTTTATAATTGACACATAATTGTACATATTTATGGCATAAGTGTGATGTTTCAATATGTATGTATATTGCATAAAAAATAAAATGAGTGTATTTAGTGTATTTATCTCCTCATATATTTATCATCTCTTTACAGTAAGAACATTCAGAATCCTCTCATCTAGCTGTTTGGAAATACAATTTGTCCTCCATATCTACAGGTTCCACATCCATGAGTTTCCAGGTTTCTCTGTTTTGCCATAAATGACAGATTTCTTTTTTATGTCTGAGTAGTATTCCATTATGTATATATATGACATTTTCTCTATCCTTGCAGCAATTGATAAACACTAAGGTTTACTCTATATCTTGGCTATCTTGAATAGTGTTTCCATAAACAGAGGAGTGCAGGTGTCTCTTCTTCATTGACTCATTAGTTGTTCAGGAGCATTTTGATTAATTTGCATATATTTGTAAAGTTTCCTAGTTTTACACCATCATGGTCAGAAAACATTACTTGACATGATTTCAGTTGTTAATTTGTTAAGACTTGTTTTGTGGCCTAATATATTATCTAACTTGGAGAATGTTTTATGTGCTGATAAGAATGTGTATTCTGCAGCTATTGGAGGTGTGAATGTCTGTGGGGTCCAGAGTTGGTATGTTGGTCTAGAGTTACAGTTTAAATTCAATGTTTCTTTGTTGACTTTCTGTTTAGATGATCTGTCCTTTGACATAAGTAGGATTTCAAAATCCTTTACTATTAAGGTATTGCAGTCAATTTCTCCCCTTAAATTAATTAATATTTGCTTTATATATTTTGGTGCTCCAATTGTATGTGCTTATATATTTGTGATTGTATATCCTTTTGCTGAATTGACCCCTTTATTATGTAATGACCTTGTGTGTGTCCTTTCTTATGGTTTTAAATTCCAGTTCTATTTTATCTAAGTATAGCTACTCCTTCTCTCTTTTGGTTTCCATTTGCATGGAATATCTTTCTCCATCCCTTCACTTTCAGTTGTTTGTGTCCTTACCAGTGAAGTGAGTCTCTTGCAGGCAGCATATAGTTGCATCTTCTTTTTTAATCTATTCAGCCATTCTGTGTCTTTAATTGGAGAATGTAATCCATTTACATTCAAGATAAGGTCCTACTACTGCCATTTTGTCAATTTTTTCAAATGGTTTTATAGTTCCTTCCTTCCTTGCTCTCTTACAGTCCTCCTTTGTGATTGAATGATTTTCTCTAAGAGGACATTTTGATTTCATGCTTTTTATTTTTTTGTGTATTTACTTTGTGGTTACCAGGAGGCTGAACAAAAAATCTTAGCGATATAATAAGTTATTTCAAGTTGAAAACAATTTAACTTTGATCTAAATAAAACAAAGACTGTATATTTTAACTCCACCCCCCTTACATTACATTCTGAATTTCTGATGTCACAGTTTACATCTTTTTATATTGCATGTCCCTTAACAAATTATTATAATTTTTTGATAGTTTTGACTTTTAACTTTTATACTAAATGTATAAGTGATTTACAGTCCATCATTACAGTATTAGAGTATTCTGAACTTGACTGTGTACTTATTTTACCAGTGAGTGTTATACTTTCATATGTTTTTGTGTTACTATTAGTGTCCTTTCCTTTTGACTTGAAGAACTCCCTAGGTGTTTCTTGTAAGGCATTATCTAGTGATGATACATACCCTCAGCTTTTTTTTTTTTTGTTTGGGAAAATTTTTCACCTTCATTTCTGAAGAAAAGCTTTGCAGTATAAAGCATTAATTGACATTTTGTTTTTTTCTTCAGCACTTTGAATATATCATTCAATTCTCTCGTGGCTCATTTCTGCTGAGAAATCTGCTGATGGTCGTATTGGAACTTCTTTGTATTTAATCTGTTTTTTATCACTTGATGTTCTAGAATTTTTATTCACCTTTGATTTTTGATAGCTTAACTATTATATGTCTTGATAAATTCCTCTTTGGGTTGAATTTGATTGAGATGTCTGTGCTTCTTGCATCTGGGTATTGGTATTTTCTCTAGATTAGGGAAGTTTTCAGCCATTTTTCTTTGTATATGCATTCTGGCCCCTTTTCTCTTTATTCTCTTTCTGAAACTCCTATTGTGCAAAAGCTTGGTCCCATATGTCCATATACTTTCTTTATTCTTTTTGATCATTTGAATGGATAATTTCAAAGGCTCTGTCTTCCATCTCACTGATTCTTTCTTCTACTTGATCAATTCTGCTATTAAAAATTTGTTTTAAATTTTTCAACTCAGTCCTATTCTCTACCGCTAGGATTTCTTTTTTTTTTTTTTAATTTGTCAATCTTGCTTTTTCCATGTTATTGTTTTCCAAATTTCATTTAATTTTTCTCTCTATATATTCTTGTAGTTCACCAAACTTCTTTATGAGTGTTACTATGAATTGGCATTCATTTCATAGCTGTTCATATTTTTGGGGTTTGTCATTGGAGCTTTATTAGTTTCTTTTAAAGGTGTTATGATTCCGTGATTTTTTGTACCTTTTTTTTGTACAGACATTGTTGTCTGTACCTTTGAGGAGAGATTCATGTCTTCTGGTCTTACATGTGTTCTCTGCCAGGCATAGAGCTCCACTTATTACCTAGTCTGTGATTCTGAAAGGGCTAGCCGGTTGTGACACCAGAGAGGTAAGACTTGTTGTGGGTTTTCAAGTTGCCTGGGCTGCTGGTGTTGCTCCAATATCAGAGGTGGCTACTATCTGAGCTCCAGTGACTGGTGAGACCACTGGCTGGGCTCTGCTATTAGGCAGCGCTGCTGGCCAAGTACTCTAATGGCTTCTGATCAGGCTGGTCACAAGATTTATTCCCTGGCTGGGCAATTTTGCTATTTGCTATCTGAATTTAGACAGGGCTTCAGGTGTGTTCTGAGGTTAGGTGGTGTTCCTACTCTGGAGAGGAAGGATCTGAGCCTATGGTCCCTAACTATGTGTGATTGGGGATATGCTTCCTTCTTTGGCTGGAGCTGTGGGATGAACCTTTA